GTTCTGCAGATGTAGATGCCACTGGTTCTTCACGTTCTGCAGATGTAGATGCCACTGGTTCTTCACGTTCTGTAGTTGTATATTCCACTGGTTCTTCCGGTTCTGCAGATGTAGATGCCACTGGTTCTTCATGTTCTGGAGATGTAGATGCCACTGGTTCTTCATGTTCTACAGTCGCGACAGTTCCCCTCACCACGTCTTACCCCGTCTCAACCCCCCGAGCCACCACCTCCGTCGCCGCCTTGCTCCCCCATGGACCCCGCTGGCACTGAGGTTCACGGCAGTCTCTTAACTCCCAACCCCCACCCCACGCCCGTGACGCGAGCGGAGTTGGACTGGAGCAAAATCCATCTCGTGTACTGGAGGCGTCATTGTGAGCATGGTGGAGAGGAGGGGGGGGGTAGTAACGCCCCGCCCGAAGTGGACAACTTTGTTAATTTATTTTCAGTCATTTACAGGTGCGATGACACACTTAGTCTTCAGATGGTTTCTTTATTGTAGAGAGACACGTTCACGCGAACAAGCAGAGACCCCCACTGCAACAGCCCCGAGTCTCCCGTGCATCTCCCTTTTACATACGGACCGAGGCCACGCCCCCCTTTCCGAACCTTCTCACTGACTCTAGAACGCTCGCTCCCCCAGCAGACTCTACCGCCCTCTTCTGTCACCTGGCCACGCTCCCATTCTCGATCATTCCCGTAGCCACGAGTCCACTCACACCGCAGGCTGACTCCCCTGTCATTACCTCCCTTGGCCACTAGTGCATTCACACTGCAGGCTGACTCCCCTGCCATTACCTCCCGTGGCCACTAGGCCATTCGCACTGCAGGCTGACTCCCCTGTCGTTACCTCCCGTGGCCACGAGTCCATTCGTACTGTAGGCTGACTCCCCTGTCATTACCTCCCGTGGCCACTAGTCCATTCGCGCTGCAGGCTGACTCCCCTGTCATTACCTCCCGTGGCCACCAGTCCATTCGCACTGCAGGCTGACTCCACTGTCATTACCTCCCGTGGCCACTAGTCCATTCGTACTGCAGGCTGACTCCCCTGTCATTACCTCACGTGGCCACTAGTCCATTCGCACTGCAGGCTGACTCCCCTGTCATTACCTCCCGTGGCCACTAGTCCATTCGCACTGCAGGCTGACTCCCCTGTCGTTACCTTCCGTGGCCACTAGTCCATTCGCACTGCAGGCTGACTCCCCTGTCATTACCTCCCGCGGCCACTAGTCCATTCGTACTGCAGGCTGACTCCCCTGTCGTTACCTTCCGTGGCCACTAGTCCATTCGCACTGCAGGCTGACTCCACTGCCATTACCTGCCGTGGCCACCAGTCCATTCGCACTGCAGGCTGACTCCACTGTCATTACCTCCCGTGGCCACTAGTCAATTCGTACTGCAGGTTGACTCCCCTGTCATTACCTCACGTGGTCACTAGTCCATTCATACTGCAGGCTGACTCTCCTGTCATTACCTCTCATGGCCACTAGTCCATTCGTACTGCAGGCTGACTCCCCTGTCATTACCTCCCGTGGCCACTAGTGCATTCACACTGCAGGCTGACTCCCCTGTCATTATCTCCCGTGCCACGAGTCCATTCATACTGCAGGCTGACTCCCCTGTCATTACCTCACGTGGCCACGAGTCCATTCATACTGCAGGCTGACTCCCCTGTCATTACCTCACGCGGCCACTAGTCCATTCGTACTGCAGGCTGACTCCACTGTCATTACCTCCCGTGGCCACTAGTCCATTCGCACTGCAGGCTGACTCCCCTGTCGTTACCTTCCGTGGCCACTAGTCCATTCGCACTGCAGGCTGACTCCACTGTCATTACCTCCCGTGGCCACCAGTCCATTCGTACTGCAGGCTGACTCCCCTGTCGTTACCTTCCGTGGCCACTAGTCCATTCGCAATGCAGGCTGACTCCACTGTCATTACCTCCCGTGGCCACTAGTCCATTCGTACTGCCGGCTGACTCCCCTGTCCTTACCTTCCGTGGTCGCTAGTCCATTCGCAATGCAGGCTGACTCCACTGTCATTACCTCCCGTGGCCACTAGTCCATTCGTACTGCAGGCTGCCTCCCCTGTCATTACACAGGTAAGATTTAAAAATTGATCATATGCACCCCCCAAAACCAAAAATCATAATGTTAGGGGAGAAAACGAACCCTTGCCCGCCCACCACCTCCCCACATATAGAAGTCAAACTCCGCCTTTGATCGCGAGATGTGCGATTCGAATCAACGGCGCGTCTGTGATTTTTGTTCACCCTTTCTGAACTTTGCACCCTCCTATGGTGCGTGTGTTGTATCGTGTTGTTGCGGTAACGGCTCTGACAAGAGCTTCCTCGCTCATCGGATTCCTCCTCCTCCGGTGTGAATAAAAATTGTGATATGTTCGAGCCGAGCATGATATTGAGCTTGGATGGTGCGACTACTCCGTGTGAAACAGGTGTTATAGGCTTCCTGCTGAGGATGGGAGGGGGCTAGGTGGGGGGGGGGGGGCTAGGTGGATGGGTGGGCAGCAGAGGGGAATTACGTTGTTGTGCTATGCTGCTGTGCTTCCGTGTGGCGGGGGTTAGTTGGTGATGCGTGGATTTTCGTGTCACGCGCTCTGCAGGTGAGTTGCTTTCTCACCTTACCTCACCCACCACCCCCCTCCTTCCCACCTCCCAAACGTCACGCGCCGCCGTGCAGGTAAATTCCCTAACCCCCCCCCACCCACTACCCACGCACCCCTCCCCTCACCACCCACTCCTTTAGTCACGCGGCATGCAGGTAAATACCCCCTCTCCTCTTCCTCCCCCCGTAACTTCCCACGCATCATTCCCCTTCACCCCCCACCCCCCTTCTCTCTCAGCCCCACCTCTTACATTTAATATCACGAACCGCCCAGGTACCGTTTAGGGTGTTCACGAAGTTCCTTTGCGTGACACAAAGAAAGAGAAATGTTGTACCCCCCTCTCTCTCTCCCTCCCGGCTGGAGCACGCCATGTACCACACACGTGTCGGTGATGTGTAGCGCGTCTTCTTCGAGCGCTGGGGAGCCGGAAAAGCCCCTCTCTGCACCAGCGTGGACGGCACCTCGTGGTGTTCACCTTCTGAAGCGCTCGCTCGTCACCGTGGCGTGCGCGATGACCACCACAACCACCACCACCACCATCACAACCACCACGACAACAACCACCACAACCACCACCACAACCACCACCACAACCACCACAACCACCACCACAACCACCACCACCACAACCACCACAACCACCACCACAACCACCACCACAACCACCACCATTACAACCACAACCACCACAACCACCACAACCACCACCACCACAACCACCACCACCACCACCACAACCACCACCACCACCACGTGACTTTTCTTTAGTGTTGTGCGCGGTGATTTTAGCGCCACAGCGCGTGGATTTGTAGCGTTTGTTTTCATTTGTTTGCTGGTGACTTTGTGTGTTTCATATCGAAATCGCCTCCAGTGCTGTTGCTGCTGGCGGCAATAAAAGTTGTTTAAAAGTCAAAAGTCTCTTACTCTCTCTCCCCCTCTCTCTCCTTTTCTTTTTTCGACCAGCTCTGCGTGATGCTCTCCCACTCTCTTTTTAAATCCTTTATATTAAGTTCACTTGCTTGCTTGCTTGTGCGCTTACGACCGTGCACATCTTTCGGTCGTTTTTTAACCCACTTCCCGTGATCCAATCGAGCTGACATTTTGCACACAGACTCGTTGTGCGTGACACTTTTTAGGAAAAAAAAATTTCACTAACACAATCATATATTTTTCCTAAACACAGAAAATTATTCTGGATGTGTGTCAACACACTATAAAAATGGAACTCTTACTCAAGAAAAACACAAATGAATAAAAAAATAAAACCGATGCCACGCATATAAAGGATTTATAGTGAAAAACTTTGTTTTTACGGGTTAATTTTTATTTTTTTACGACAAGATGAAACAAGAAGATGCTCGATGTAGTCCGCACTTTGCTTCGTTCATCATTTCGGTTTTTTTGTTTTTGTTGTACGCGGCACAACTGCAACAGCGGCGGTTTCGCCGCAGCTGCGTGTCTTTTGGATTTCCGCGATATTTTGTGGAACTTACAAGTAAAAGGTGCGCTTTTTAATTTTTAACTTCCTCTGAAGAGGATCGTCACGTGATGCTGTGGATGTCGTTGATGATGATGATGCTGCTGTTGTTGCTGCCAGGTCTGGGCTTTCGGGGGCAGTCCACATCAGTTCAGATCTTCCCCCAAAATTATGATTCAAATCATGTCCCGGTACCCCATCCTGCTAAGGGGACTTTGTGGGCCACTCTCTGTGTGCCCCCCCCCCCCGCCCACTAGTCTCCTCCACCCTCCCCCCCCTGGCTAAAGCTACGAGTTGGGCCCCCTTTTGACAATTAAAAAAAAAACATTTTGTTCCTGGGTAGTAAGTGTTATTTCCTAATTGCTCATGCCTCAAAAGTACAGAAAGCTGCTATTATTCCCCGAAAACTTTGCTTTTGTGACCAGGACAGTGATTATTTTTAGATTTACCTATTTTCAATGAGAAAACGTGGTGTGCATTTGTGTCATTCCTTCACGTAAAGTCCTGGCCACAAAAACAAAGTTTGTGGGGGAATAATAACAGCCACTTTCTATACTTTTGAGGCATGAGCAATTAGAAAATAACACTTACTACCCAGGGACAAAAATCGTGTTACATCGTGAATTTTCAACAACAGCGTCAACCAACTTCATGCGTTACACGTTCGAGGCTGTGAGCGCACCGACGATGCCACTGGGGGGGGGGGGAGGAAGAGGAGGCCGCGAGATGAAATCGCCTCTCGGTGCGACCTTGCGAGACAAATCGCGCAGTAGGAGCCTCACCTGGACGATTACGTCACCACCCACCGAGCTGATAATGTCGACACTACGCCACTGCGCCCACGCTCCTACACACTTCTCACGAACCCCTCCCGTCATCCTCCCTCCCCTTATCCTCCCTCCCTCCCCCTCCACCCAACGAGATGTCACGAGTCGCCCAGCTGACTTCAGCTCTGTCTGTGAAGTGTGAGTGAGTGAGAGAGGTGCGCGACTCGATTCACCTTGCAGTCGGGCACACGTGCAAGTCCTCCCGGGTGTCGGGCTCTGCAGGTGAGAAACTCTCTCTACATTTCTCTGTCTCTCTCCATCTCTCTCTCCATCTCCCACTCTCTCTGGACCAGCGTGGACGGCACCCTCGTGTTCACCTTCTGAAGCGTTCGCTCGTCACCGTGGCGTGCGCGATGACCACCACCGCCACCACCACCACGTGGCTTTTCTTTCGTGTTGTGCGCGCTGCATTTAGCGCCACAGCGCGTGGATTTACAGCGTTTGTTTTCATTTGTTTGCTGGTGACTTTGTGTATTTCGTATCGGAATCGCCTCCAGTGCAGTTGCTGCTGGCGGCAATAGAAGTTGTTTCAAAAGTCAAAAAGTCTCTCCATCTCCATGCCTCTCCATCTCCCACTCTCTCTGTCTGTGCGAACGAAAGTGTTCGTGGTTTGCGAAGTAATGAACGCGGTGGTTAAGGGTGCTTGTTCTGTGTGTTGTTGCTAATTTGCATGCGCGCTGAACGCCGCTCAGTGATTGATTGCCCGATGGGTCACTCCGGCTCTCTCTGTGTGCGCGTGCGATTCGGGGTTTTAATTCGTCACCATTGTCACCGTCATCATAATCATCGCCCACGGTCACTCCACTGCTGGATGGAGGCCTCCCCACGCCATCATCAGCCACGGTCAATTCCCAAAGCCGCTGCCACCTCTTCACGATCACGAGATGCTAATGATCATGCAGCTGATTGCATCCTTCCCTCTCCCCTTGTGTTTACACCGGAACAACGAACTTGTGCGTGTTTGTGTTTGCCGTAGAGCACAATGAGTGTGTGTACAGCACTATACATGAGTATTGGTTTGTGGTTACTTATTTAACGTCCGGCACACGATTGCCCAGTGAGCATACCGACGTTGCAATGTGCTTGGAAGCGTCGGCCCAGCGGGTGTCCCCAGACATTCCACGCTGACCCGAGTGGAAGGGTCAAACCGGCGTGGAAAGCTACCGGGCCACTGATTATTCTTCTTAATCTGGGGGGTGCACGCACCACCACCTCCTCCTGAGTTGTGCGAGATGCCCTTTTACGGGGGTTTGAGGCATGGCCAGATATTAGTTTGTAGAAGGTAAATAATTGAAAACACTAAATTAAGCACGGTGCATGTAAGTAATTAAATAATACAAATTAAACATAATAAATAATTCTCACGACGTTTCGGCCACAACGCAAGCAGCCGTCCTCAGGTGAAGAACAGGTCTGTCGGAAAGACAGCGTCTGAATGAAACACCACCAGGCTTGGCAGCGTACACCTGGTGGTGTTCATTCAGACGCTGTCTTTCCGACAGACCTGTTCTTCACCTGAGGACGGCTGCTTGCGTTGTGGCCGAAACGTCGTGAGAATTATTTTATTATGTTTAATTTTTATTATTTTATTATTTCCCTTCTACGTGACTTTACCGAAAGAACCAAGAAGATAAATCCCTGCAGTCACGAAAGCTTTAAATCGAAATTTAAATGCACGTAAGGTTCAACTTAATTTTGTTTCATTCACATTATAAACATCTTAAACAATTGAGAAGCAAAGGGGTGGAACGCTGCAGGAAAGTTGAAGAACCACTGGACCAGGCTGATGGACTAACACATTTACTGTATATAGGTGGAAACTCAATGTTTGGCCGTCCTGATTATTCAAATTAGTTGTGTGGGGGTTGACTTAGCCCATCATACATCGTGCGGGGATGGTTGATAAAATAGGTTCCACTTCATGCCCCATGGATGGACTCGCCCCCGCCATAGGAACGTGGACTTTCCGGATTTGGTTTAGAGCTGCAACCAGCACGGCGGGAGATGAGAATGGCCGCATCAATGCTCACTTGGGCACGTGTTTAAAGTATTTGGGCTCCGGCTATAAAATTTCCACGTGACGATGATGATGATGATGAGCCCACTTCGTTGAGATATCATTTGCGATAGCCGGATCGCTTCTGAACAATAAAGAGCTCTTACACAGCAGCTCAGTGAGGGGGAGGGGGGAGAGCCTTACCCGGTAAAAATACAAAATCTTTTTTTTATGAATATAATGTCGTGAAAAAAAACATCACTGAGGCCCTGAATTCACCCCCCCCCCCCCGTCTCTGTCTCCGTGGACGCAGCAGTGAAGTGAGAGAGCGAGGTTCGTCCGAGGGACGTCATGGGCAACTGCTGCTCCTGCTGCCCTTCGTGGTGCTCCTGCCCTACGGGCGACGGCTATGAACCACTTCCCGGCGAGAACGTGAGTAGTGTCACCGCGCGAACTTTTTACCGTATCATCGGGATTAAACTAAAACTAATCTTTTTTAAACTTTCATTCAAAGACGCTCCCGGGAACAACTGGCCGGCGAGATCGTGAGTAGAGTCACCGCGCGTACTTTTACCATATCATCGGTATTAAACAAAAAAACTTAACTTTTCAAAACTATCATTCTGTAATGTGTTGCCTCCACAGACGTATACTGTGGAGGCAACACATTTATTCAGTTCCAAAACACGGGGTAACTTCCCCTAAACAGAATAACAACCTAAGGTGGTGACCACCCGGCTAACTACACTAGTTACCACGTGACTGCTACTACGGACCGTGACCAACGACTTGGGCCCGGGTCCACGTGTTGGAGACTCGTTGAACGGAGATCATAGATTAAGGGTTTCTTCCAGGATGAACAACAACCCTGGTCCCTCCTGGGACCCGGCTTTTATTCTCTGTGGCATGGCCGGCTCCGCCCTTGGCCACGTCCACCTTCTAGAAACCTCAGGAAGGATCTGGGTCCCAATCACGTGACTCCCCTAGCTCCCTCTTGGGGCCCCTCTGTAAACTTAACCGGTCACGTGTCCTCCCGGGTCAATCAGACTGCCATGGCCTCACACTATCCTTCGGTTGGCACCCACACACCCTGTCCTGTAGGGTCGGCACTGCACTTAACGCGTGGTGCCATCCAGCGCTATTATTCAGCGCACGCCTTGCCCCTCTAGGGCCGGTACTGCACCCACAGCATGGTGACATCCAACGATGTCACTACATCACCCCTCCCCCCTTCGTAAAACTCAGCCGTCCCGGCTGTAAATTCCCCCTCAGCAAAACAAGGCCCCTTAGTGTGCCTCAACAAATAAATACCCCATCCCATATCGACAATATCTACAATATATATACCGTGATGAACGGGGAAAGGGAACAGAAGTACAGAACGAACAATAGACAAAAACACAACAGAAAAGAGAAGGGAAGAGAGAGATAAGAAAGGAAGAGAAAAACACGCGGTAACACACAAAACCTCGGGACCCCCTCCAGCACCAGCATCACCCACCCTCACCGTGTAGCAACACCCGCAAGCACAATAAAGACCAGGTTCAGCCAATGACCAATACGACATGAAGGGTGCGACAACCAACTGACGGCGTGGGAGTGTGTGTGTGGGAGTCACGAAAACTGAACAATCTTGGAACGAGTCCTTGTGGCCGGGTCCCCAGGCGAAGTGAGCGTAAGCTCCCTGAGGGTCCCGGGGGGGGGATTTGAAAATGTTCTGACGAGCCCGGCTCCTCACGAAGAGCAGTCGGCCGGGCAGACGGGCCCTCCGCTCCCGAAGATTTCGGAAACGGTGCAGGCGGTGGCTTGGGGGAAGTTAAACGCGCGGAACCTGAGGACACATAACTCCCCTGAGGACCAACCTCAGTGGGTGCACACCTCAGCTTGCCCGATACACCCGACACTCAGCCCCTGTGTAGTGGAGATGAGATGAATTCACGTGGCGTAATGAAAGGTTTTAGGCCACAGTTGTAGCACACGATGAGCCCGCTCCCAGGATGGAGGAGAGGTCTTCCGCCGTCGATGTTGTTCATCCCATCGCACCATGCCGTCTCCCCGCCAGCCTCCGCTTTGGGCCGAAGCACAGGCTTGGACGGGCTCCACGTCTTCGGGTGTATCACGTGTCTCACGAGGCGCCACGTGGTGGGCAGTGGCGGGAAGTTTACAAATCCATTGTTGTACCGCACTTTCTATGCCCTCGCGTCTATGCCGCCCACCTTCACCAACACGCACCACACCAGTGCGGTGAAGTATGGTCAAAGAGCCCCCCACCACAATCTACCCATAGTGGGGAGGCTCTCATCCAGCAGTGGATTAACAAGGGGCTGTACAGGTGTGCTCAAGGTGTACATATTTATCTGCGAATATGCCTAGGGGACTTGGGTGGGCATTGTGAAACTGAGGTAAAGTTACTCTGAGGTGGGATTTTTGTTATTCGTGTTGATATTATGCTGAGGTAAAGTTACCCTTTAGTCTGAGGTGAATTGATTCTGAGGTAAAGTTTCTTTGAGGTAAAGTTTCTGTGAAGTCAACTTACTCCACAGATTATTTTACTGAGGTGAATTGACTCTGAGGTAAAGTTTATCCGAGGTAAAGTTACTTTGAAGTAAATTTACTCCGGAGGTGATTTAACGGAGGTGAATTGACTCTGAGGTCAAATGTATCTGAGGTAAAGTTGCTTTGAGGCGAAGTTACTCCGAGGTAAATTTTACTGAGGTGAATTGACTCTGAGGGTAAAGTTTATCTGAGATAAAGTTTATCTGAATTCAAATTAATCCGAGGTGAATTCACTGTGGTGAACTGACTCGGAGGTCAAAATTCCTCGGTGGTGAATTTACTTCGGGGTAAAAGAAAAATGTATTTGAGGTAAAAATTCTAGATTTGAAGCTTTCGTGACTGCAAGGATTCATATTCTTAGGTTTTTTTCGGTAAAGTCACGTAGGTAAAACATCAAAATTAATTTAAAAAAAAATAAAGATCACGACGTTTCGGAGGCAACACAAGTCTCCCACCTGATGACGGAGACTTGTGTTGCCTCCGAAACGTCGTGATCTTTATTTTATTTTATTTTTATTAATTTTGATGTTTTACCTACGTGACTTTACCGAAAAAACCTAAGAATATTTGAGGTAAAGTTTGTATTTTTGGTATGAGATACATTTACTCTGAGGTGAATTCACCGCCGAGGTGAATTTACCTCAGCACGGGAACTTGATTAAGCAATGCTTATGTTTGTATCTTGAAACCGACCTGAACTTCGCCATAAAATCACCCGGAGGTCACAGACAGTCGTAAAGAGACAGGGTTTATTTTTATATTATCTCACCCTTCACAACCCATGCGGTTTACTCCGTATTCTTGTACGGTGGAAATTGAGTTTTCAAGTCCATACGGCCTACAGTCGTTTCAATACGGGGCAAAATTTAGTTTGTATCTATTTGTTTGTGTTTCTCCCTTGTGATTGCACTTTGTGTAGGATTAACGTTGATATTTATAAGGGGCAGGGCTGACCAATAAGGTTTGAGTTGGTCTGTTATAAGGTAGGGCACTGATAAGGAGTTTCCAGCTATGCATTTGTTAAATATTGTTTACATATCTGGGAAAGAACATCACCGCCAGGCCGTCATTGCCGCGTGATAATAAAACATTTGTTAAAAATGCAACAACAGGGAAGTGAAAAAAATAAAACTCTCCCGCCAAACCCGCCCTTGCCCAGCCGGTCCCGCGGCTTTTTGTTGTTGTTGTAGAAGCAATGGACGTCGTCAATGGCTTCCTGATATGAGGATGTGTCTAAATGAGTCAAACAATGATTTATTCCAAGGTGTGTCTGTAAGCAAATCGTTTGGTTATTGACGCTGCTGCTGCAGTGATGCACAACCTCAAATAATAACAACCAAACTCAGCACATTATATACTGTCTTTTATTTTTTTTAAGCCACACATTGTTAGTGAGGAGTGTGTATTGTTATGCCATACCTGTCAACCCATTCGGTTTACCCGTACTCTTGTACAGAGTTTCAGTTCCATACGGCGAACAGCCAGACAGGCAAAGAAAATGTCTATTTGTGTGTGTTTCTCTCTTGTGATTGGAATTTGTAGGATGAACGTTGAGCTTTATAAGGGGCACAGGGTGACCTATAAGGTCTGAATTGGTCTGTAATAAGGTAGGGCACTGATAAGGGGTTGACAGGTTTGTGTTATGCACAGTAATCATCCCAACCGAGCGCTAAGCAGGCTCAAACACAGCTTAGCTCCCGAGATCTGACGAAAAATGTTTTGCGATTAAACGGACAGAGACTCATCTCGTGATCAGAGATGGTACCGACGCCCCTTGCACAACTGCACATCAGAAGAGCGGCAAGACGTTTCGCTCTCTTCGCACCCCCCCCCCCCCCCCCCCCAGGCTGCGGGAAACTTGAATCGTCAGCGCAATGTTTGTCCGCGTAGTTTTGACAAGCGTGAAAAATACATTTCATTCATGTTGTATTCGCCTCGTCAAACATTCCATTCCTCGTAAGAACGTATTAACGATTGCGACATTGGTGACTTCTCCCCCCCCCCCCTCCGCCTCCCAGAATGAAGGTCACCCTCGTCGAACACCTGGTGGGGCCCACAACGAGTTCCCAGCCCCTGAGCCCCGGGACACGGGTCTCCCCGGCCCCCCAATCGCGGCCTTCCCAGCCCCTGAGCCCCGGGACACGGGTCTCCCCGGCCCCCCAATCGCGGCCTTCCCAGCCCCTGAGCCCCGGGACACGGGTCTCCCCGGCCTCCCAGTCGCGGCCTTCCCAGCCCCTGAGCCCCGGGACACGGGTCTCCCCGGCCCCCCAATCGCGGCCTTCCCAGCCCCTGAGCCCCGGGACACGGGTCTCCCCGGCCCCCCAATCGCGGCCTCTGTCCGGCCAGGGCCCTCCAGTCAGGACGAGGTTCCCCCGGTCATCGTGCAGCAGCCTGACACCCCCTCCGCCAGCGGGCAGCGTCCCTCGCTGGGAATCTTCGACTTGACCCCTCAAGACCCCTCCGTGGGGGGCCCGTCACCACCGCCGCCACCGCCGGCCTTCATACCTGGGATGGCACCGACGCTCGCGAGGCCCCTGTGGCTAAAGGAAAAGAAGCCGTACAACAAGAAGGGGGCGACGGAGCGAGTGAGGTGCAAGACGGTGAGTCCCGCGACGTGTGGGCTCATTCACTCGTCCGTTCAGTTATCCGATAACTCAGTTATTCGGCGATTCATGCAGTTAGTCTGTCATTGGTGCAGTTATTCAGTCATGCTTTGGTGTTCAGTCAGGTGTATTTGTGTGTTCGCGTTTTTACGTGTTGGAGTTTGTGTGTTAATGCATCAGTGTGTGTGTGTTGATGTATTGGTGTGTGTTGATATATTGGTGTGTGTAGTGATTTATTGGTGTGCGTTGATGGTGTGTTGATGCATCGGTGTGTGTGTGTTGATGTAGATCGTACCGAGTGACATAAAGAAGGAGAGCCTATGGAGCAGCGCGAACGAGAAACAATTCGAAAACTCCGACCTCAAGGACCGGCTCCTGCGGACCTTTGCAGGTCAGAGCCGTTGATTAGAAGTCAAGGGGCCACGAGGTCACCAGTTAACGTTGTGATGAGGCCATTGTGTCACCCGTTCATGGGATCTCGCGGTCACGGTTTTCCGCGCGCGAATCGTACTCGCATTGCCACGGGGCAATTTCTCGCGGGTTCATGGTGTCGTGGAATCGTGAGGTCAACGGTTCCCTCTGCTGCTGTTGTTGCAGCCAAGACATCGCTGGGACTGCCCATATTCCAGCCATCCTCAAGTGGATCTTCGCCACTGCCATCTCCGTCCGGAAGCCCCAGTGAGGGATCCGTCTTCAGCACACAATTATTACAAAATCTCGGTGAGAGAAGCCGCTGTTATTATTATTTGTTTCCGCTTGCCTTGCCCAGGAAAAGCCACACTGAGAATCGGGATTCGTTTTCAGGAGGGTCCTGCAAAGTTTTAACAGGAAGGGGTGAAGTCGCCTGCTCTGTGTGTCATCCAAATGTAGTCGTTTGATTTTTCAACATTGGGGGATCTCTTCGTTCGTTCGTTTATCAATCCGCTCGTCCTGATGAGGGTCGCGACAGCAGTGTGTTGAATAGGGCGGTCCAGACGTCCCAATGTTTGTCCGCGCCGAGCGACATCGTCCTGGGCTGGCTAAAATTTCAGGAGTCTATCGCTATGCATGGAAAGGCAGAAAATAGTTTAACATCAACCGAGGCAAGAAGAGAAGTGAGAAAGACGTTTTGAAAATAACTAAAGAGAGAAAATCTAGATTTGAAGATTTCGTGACTGCAGGGATCATACTCTTTGGTTCTTTCGGTAAAGTCGAGATTTTGAACGTGACTTTACCAAAAAAACCAAAGAGTAAAGAGAGAAAGCCATTTTAAACAGATTCGTTTCCTTAGTCGAGATTTGAAGATGTGCAAGTGTCGCTGAAGTCCCTTTAGGTGCCGCAATGGCAAAGGCGTCGTCACCCCAAAGTGTGAAGCCTGGAGACCCGTGGTGACAGTGAGCAACGCACAATCCGAGGATCTTAATGATCATGATGGAATAAAATGACTGAAAGAGGTCCCGCCTCAACTGACTGGGGATCTGGTTTTGTGGGGGGGGTTTTAGCTATGGGAGGAAATTGGAAAACCCTGAGGAAACCCATTGCAGTACAGGGGGAGAGAATACAAACTCCATACAGAGAGTTGCCTGAGATGGGAATCCAACCCAGGCGATTTTTACTGCGAGGCACAGGTGTTACGACTGTGCCACCTCCCGGCCACCCACAGACCCATAACCCCACAACCCTCTCTCTTGTGTAAGGCTGCATGAACAATAGCTTACAGTAAGTCACCATGCCAGATTAGTTTACCCAGGAAATGGTTTGAGTTGATGTGCGTTCTATTGGGTGCTCCGGTCTCGTCCACCGCGAAACCAAACATGAACGTAATCGGCCAAACATCCCCAATTATCTGAAGATTCAACCCAATGGAATGATCTCCCATACAAGGACAAAGATTCCCTCGTGAAGCTTTAACAGAATGTAGGAGAAAGTGCCATTTGTTTTTGCCAGACTCAAACTGACAACGAGTGTTGAGATTCAGTGAGTCTTCTTACCTGACCCCCCTATCCCCCCCCCCCCCCACCCTGCCCTGGAACCACCATACACACAGAAATCTTGAGAAAATCGGTGAAGGTGTCGGACAACGATTTCATAAAAGCCATCCTGACGGGTGACATGGCCTTCCTCTCCGGGATTAAAAACTTTCAGGTAAACCGAGCGGTGGTGGTGAGTTGGTGTGGTCTGCTGGTGCATCATATGAGCCAGTTTGACCCGCTTGTTGTCATGATCTCTGGCCATCTGGAACGCTCTTCCTTCGAATATTAGGAAGCCACGAGAGCTATGCACTTTAAAATCTATATTGAAAACTAATTTCTTTCGAACTGCTTTCTGTGTTTAGTTTGTTGTCCATCTGCCGCAGCTCCGATTAGCACGGTTGGCTACGTACGGTGGAAAATAAGTTCAACATACATATCGATCCTGACTGAACTGGTGTAGCTGGTGTGGTCGTTGTGTTAGTGTGACCTCATCTGTTGGTGTGACCTCATCTGTTGGTGTGGCCCACGTGTTGGTGTGGCCTTCCGTGTCGGCGTTGTGGCTTGGGTAATGGCCTGCGTGGCCCGAGTGATGATGATGGCGCGCGTCGCTTTGTGCTCTCGCAGGGCCTGATAGAGAAGTTGCAGAGCGTAACAGAGAAGCAGAAGAAGGCGCTGCAAGATAAGCAGGGCAACGGAGCTCCGCTGCAGAAGATGGAGTTCTTCTATTTGCAGGTAACCCTCGCCCACCCCTTACCCCGCATTCCCTGCACAGATAAAAAAAACTAAACAAAAACAACAGACCAGCATGTTTATAGTTTTTCGGTAATTCCCCCCAAGTTTATCGCGGTTGCGCCAGCAGCTTCGCGTTATCACGAGACGGAAGTATCCTTTCGTGACACACGCGCAGAGCGGCGTGACCCTGTGTGGCGTCACAGGGAACACAGCTCGCGGGAAGCGGATATCACAGAGCTACCTCTGAGACCCCTTCTTTAAGTGACCCTCTGGTCCAGATAGCAGAGGGCAGCGCTTTCCAAAGTGCCGCCGCCGTACGAGAGTGAATGTTCATTGCAAGGTGGTCGACTTAAGATATATCATTGTCCAGAGCTGGAATTTGCAAAAGATTTGAGTGCAGAAGTAGATTTCACATGATCAGGGTCTTGTGAAGTCGTTGGTGACCGGGCTGAGACCATCAACTCACGACACTTGAGAACCTGGTTTAATGACAGGCGATTGAAACCTGGATTTTAACCCAGTTTTTCATTGGTGCTGATTCAGTGTATCTGACCTCCAAGCCACCCAGCGCCAGACGTTATCGCTCACCATTGGAAACGACTGAGGGCGGCCACTCAACCAATCAACGGGCATCTGGGCAAGCCTAGAGGCCCAGCCACCAACACCCGAAGTAAACATCGACGCAGCGACACGGCGATTCTTCGCAGAGCCCAGTTTAGAAGCGGCGAGTCGGTGGCGTAGCCAGAGAGTGCGCAGGCGGTGCAACTGCACCGGGGCCCATGGTCCTGAGAGGCCTGGGTGCTGAGCTACATGTGTGTGTGACCTCGTGGCGGCGTGCGTGTGCGTCCCTGTGTATGTGCTGCTCGTGTCTCTGTACTCGTGCCGCGCGTGTCTCTGTGACCCCGTGGTTGTGCCGCGTGCCTCTGTGACCCCGTGGTTGTATCTCTGTGGCCGTGTGACCTCAGCTCGTGGAAGAGGGCCACCTGTCGGAGCGCCTGCGCTGCCTGCGCTTCCACTTCACCCGCGCCGAGGTGCTCGACCAGGCTCGGAATGAGCAGGAGGTCGTGCTCGCGGCCCTGAGCGCGGTCGTCTCTAGCCAAGGCCTGGCCCAGCTGGCCCAGCTGCTCCTCTTCATCCTCAACTTCCTGAACGAGGGCCCCACCTCGGCGCCTGCCTACGGAATCAACCTCTGCGACATCGACAAGGTCCCACGCGGGGGGCGGGGTGTGGGGGTGGGGGGTCATGGGTTGGCGGAGTCTCAGAACACTTTGCAATGAATGCACAACACTTGGTATATATGAAACATAACATATTCATTTTAAATAACAGAGATGCTGAGCCGGCACCGCCGAGACCCTGAGTTCAAATTCACGTTTTGACCGCCCAACTGCAGCAATTAAACTCGGTTCTTAAATGTTTGTTGGAAAACGGACCGCAGAAAGTGGATATCACAGAACCTCTAAACCGTCGTGGAATTCGGGTCCCGTTTGACGTCAGGTTGCGGGTGCTGTTGGCGGTCCTGTGATTCAAGTTGGTTTCACGATCTGCCCCTTTAACACCGGCCGGGACCAATAACAGAACAGAGTGGCAGCCAATTAGGGTTAGGCCATAGGATGGTTTACGGAGGCCTTCATCCAGCAGTGGATTGATTACGATACTGCTGCTGCTGTTGACGGTCCTCTTCAACTGATTCAAAGATTGGTTCTCTCCTTCGCACAAATTCAATGAGGCTCGTTCATATACAATCTAACGAAGCATACAATACGCCTCCTTGCCATGTCTGTCTCTCCACACACACAAAAAACAAACTTATGGGAAGGAGGCTGTATTGTCGGCACTCCCTCAGGGCAGCAGTGGACGGAGCACGGCTCTCCCTCAGGGCAGCAGTGGACAGAGCACGGCTCTGCCTCACTCTCACTCACCCGTCTCTTGCTCGCGGTCACGTGACGCACTTCAACCAATCCGGGGGCGTACATGTTTGGGAGGGGCGCACCTCTGGTTGGCTGCTTGCTCGCGGTCACGTGACGCACTTCGATCAATCCGTGCCGCGTTAATCACAGAGTCACAGAATGTCAGAGCTGGGTGTTTGTATATTAGTATCATTTCGTCAACGGTAACCAACGTTGTAAACTCATACGTATATTCAAGGCCTTAAATGGACCGACATTCGTGACCTCCTTCAGTCGTATTATTCCATCATGATCATTAAGATCGTCGGATTGTGCGATGCTCACTGTCACCACGGGTCTCCAGGCTTGACACTTGGGGGTGACGACGCCTTTGCCATTCGGTAAAGTCACGTTCAAAATCTCGACTTTACCGAAAGAACCAAAGAGTATGGATCCCTGCAGTCACGAAAACTTCAAATCTAGATTTTCTCTCTTTCGTTATTTTCAAAACGTCTTTCTCACTTCTCTTCTTCCCTCGGTTGATGTTAAACTATTTTCCGCCTTTCCATGCATAGTGCCCTAAGAACGATTGTTGAAGGGCTCTTAATGGATTTAAAACACGTTCCTTCGGAGTGGGCAGGTAGGAACTTGGTTGCACAGCGCATTCGTGCACGACAGACAAATATGCACGACAGACAGACAAATAATCCCTGGTGGGCAGTGTGGAACATATTGTTCCTACCTGTATTATTATTATTACATGCTCGTGATCTGGACCGCAAAGACGACCGCATGGTGGCGTTCTCAATTTGAACGATGCCACAGGGTCAACAACAACAAGGTTTACTTGATAGCAGGCCAACAATGCCCATGAACGCGTTCCATGTCCATAATAGAGGTGTTTTGGGTTAGATCGCGTAAATATAAATGTTGTTAACCCGCCAACACCCAACACAGCCAATTAGTAAGGTTTGTCACGTAAACAGAACCTGCCAATTCGTTACGAGTGTTTTGTTTACGTGAGAAACATTACTAATTGGTTGTGTCAGGTGGTGGCGGGTTTAACGACGCATTTATATTTATGCGATCTAACCCATAAAAAACCTCTTATGGATAATATTGGTTGCGACAGCCTACCTGTTAAACTGCGTTCAGTGTCATAGTCCCACTCCCTGGTCTCCGTGACCTATGCCACGTTTGCCTTCTGCCCCAAAATAGATATTTTTTATATCTCTAATTTTTGTAAAGCATCCTAAGCCGCAATTTTTTGTTACACGTCGCTACGTATATGCACATTACCGTACAGTGTGTACGATTGAGATTTTGAATGGGAGCAGGTGCTAACTTGCCGGTGCTGTCGCCCCAACAGATCAACTCCGTGAGGATGACGGATCCCGCTGAGAGCGGCACCCTCCTGGACCTGGTGGTCAGAGAATGCCAGAAATCCCACCCCGACATCCTCAACATCATCACGGAGCTCGAGCCTGTTGACAAAGCCACAAGAGGTGCCTGACGGGCCTACCTGCACGCCGCCACAACAGCCTAGGACTCGCCTACTGCTTTGCTAATCATCTAGATCTCTGGCCCACCATCTCCCTCTACCACCAATCCATTTGCCTCTCGGTCATGTACGTCTCTGGTTCACGAGCCCACTCGCCCGTTGATCCACCGCTGTGATGCTAGCTCGCTCGCTAAAGGCTTCAGTGTCGACGAGGCTTCGGTGAAGTGACGTTTGTTTACGTTTCGCTTTTCGTTTCACCGTGAGAGCGTGGTCGTGCCACCCGGCGTCGAGTGAGGGGTGGCAGGGGTCTCGGTGTTCGTCCGTCTCGCGGGGGGGAAGGCGGTAACGGAAGTTTTGACGACGTTGCGACGATGCCATTTTCTTTTTCACAGTCGACGACGAGAATCTGACATCGGTGATCCGGTCTCTCCGGGCGGATATCACGAAACTGGAAGGCGACCTCAACTCATTACCGGACACCGAGCCCCACGGATCGTTCTCCAAAACGATGAAAATATCCTTCTCAACGGATTGGTTCGGGTGGTGTGACATTAGATATCCTTGGAAGTTCCAGTGTATGTATGTTGAACTTCTTTCGCACCGTATGTAGCCAACCGTGCTATTCGGAGGTGCGCGGCATGGAGCCGTTGGAGCCTCAGCACTTTCAGTGCAAGCAGCGATTGATTGATCCAAGTCGATTCTTATGCCCACGATGTGTTCACAGAATGGGTCTCACACACACACACCACACTCTGTTCACGACGTTTGTTTACGAATGTTTGCGAGCCCTCTGCTGGGCCGGTGCCGCACGTGACCGTTTAACCATCGACGTAGGTGTCCCCCACGCGCGTTGCCGATCGTTGACCTCCGTGTGACCCTTAACCCCGTGGCACCCGCTGCTTCAGGAGTGGACGCAGAAGGTGGAGCTGCTGGAGAAGGGCGAGGGCGAGATCGGGGCCGAGTGGGAGAGGCTGAGGGTGAAGTTCAGCCTGAAGGAAAAGATCCCCAAGCCGCTCCTCTCCAGCCTCGCCACGTTCCGCGGAGACTTCAAGGTGCGTGGAGACTTCACTCGCCTCCCCCAATCCCTCCACGCCCTCCCCTGCATGAGCCAAGCGTTGGGCTATGGCCAGTTCTGCCAGCGCCGGCTGCACACAGAATTCCGCGGGGAAAAGCTGATGGCCGCTGACAGGACGGCACTTGCGTTCAGCTTGTGCTGCGCAGGAACAGCTGCCGCCAGGGGTCCCCTTGGCCGGACCGCAGCAGCAGGGCATTGAAACGGTTAGTCTATGGGCAGTGTTAGTCTATGGGTAGTGTTGAGTCTATGGGTAGTGTTGAGTCCATGGGCAGTGTTAGTCTATGGGCAGTGTTGAGTCTATGGGTAGTGTTGAGTCCATGGGCAGTGTTAGTCTATGGGCAGTGTTGAGTCTATGGGTAGTGTTGAGTCCATGGGCAGTGTTAGTCTATGGGCAGTGTTGAGTCTATGGGCAGTGTTGAGTCTATGGGTAGTGTTGAGTCTATGGGTAGTGTTGAGTCCATGGGCAGTGTTAGTCTATGGGCAGTGTTGAATCTATGGGCAGTGTTAGTCTATGGGCAGTGTTGAGTCTATGGGTAGTGTTAGTCTATGGGTAGTGTTAGTCTGTGGGCAGTGTTAGTCTATGGGCAGTGTTAGTCTATGGGCAGTATTAGTCTATGGGCAGTGTTGAGTCTATGGACAGTGTTAGTTTATGGGCAGTGTTGAGTCTATGGGCAGTGTTAGTCTATGGGCAGTGTTAGCCTATGGGCAGTGTTAGTCTATGGGCAGTGTTAGTCTATGGGCAGTGTTAGTCTATGGGCAGTGTTCAGTCTATGGGCAGTGTTGAGTCTTTGGGCAGTGTTAGTCTATGGGCAGTGTTAGTCTATGGGCAGTGTTAGTCTATGGGCAGTGCTGAGTCTATGGGTAGTGTTGAGTCTATGGGTATTGTTGAGTCTATGGGCAGTGCTGAGTCCATGGGCAGTGTTAGTCTATGGGCAGTGTTAGTCTATGGGCAGTGTTAGTCTATGGGCAGTGTTAGTCTATGGGCAGTGTTAGTCTATGGGCAGTGTTGAGTCTATGGGCAGTGTTAGTCTATGGGCAGTGTTAGCCTATGGGCAGTGTTAGTCTATGGGCAGTGTTGAGTTTATGTGCAGTGTTAGTCTATGGACAGTGTTAGTCTATGGGCAGTGTTAGTCTATGGGCAGTGTTAGTCTATGGGCAGTGTTAGTCTATGGGTAGTGTTGAGTCTATGGGCAGTGTGAGTCTATGGGCAGTGTTGAGTCTATGGGCAGTGTTGAGTCTATGGGCAGTGTGAGTCTATGGGTAGTGTTGAGTCTATGGGCAGTGTTGAGTCTATGGGCAGTGTTGAGTCTATGGGCAGTACGTGTGTATGTTGATCCTCTCTCGCACCGCACGTAGCCAACCCGTGCTAATCGGCGGTGCACCGGGGCGGTAGCGCCGATCAGCGGCACCGCGTTCGAACCGCTCGCGGAGAGGTTCGCGGTTGGAACTCGGCAGGCCACAGAAGTTGTTTGGCGCAAACAAAGTAGTCACCGCCCGCTTCGCACTTTCACGCTCACGATGCTGTGACGTCGTTTGTAAAGGGGAACCGTGACATTTGCGCACCACCGGCGTCATTGAGGAAATTGGACAGGACTGAGTCCCCTGGAAAATACTCGATTGGGATGACGCACAGCAACGTCGTCCCCTCCCCCTCCTGGTGAAGCTGCTGCAGGCTCTAGCTGTGAAACGTTTGCGATAGCCTTGCGCCGTAGGAACGATGGCACGATAATATACCGGATGTTTCATTGCTATCGGAACACATTTTAGACCCATGAGATCAAATGGGACCTCTGGACGAATGCTTTCCAGTGGCAATCGTTTAAGGAGCAGAAGGGACGCCCTGCAACCGTTTTCGCCTCCTCTGGGTCTCATCGGCACTGTCAGGCAACTGCCTGCCGGGCTGGCAGACGTTACGGACGAGAAGAACCCTCCATGAACACCCCAGTCTCGTTGCGTGCAGCACATCACAAATTTGCCAGCAGAGGGCACGAGGCCTCCATGTCAGGGAGCTGACCTCGCCGCGTTGGCAGCGGCCGCAAAAGCACGAATAACAAGCTGACACATTCATCACTCACACCGTGTGTGGGTGTGTGTGGTCTTACAATTATGGGGAGCGGCAGTGCAGCCCGGGTCCCCCGAGTTCGATTTCCCGCTATTGGCCAACGCCGGTGACGAGTGCGGTGGGAAAACGTCACCACTGGGGAGACAAAGGCGGCCGAGCGTGGTGCTGGCTACCCACCCCCTTGTGTGCCGTGCCAGCCTTCATAGGTGCTCGCGAACAGCACTTGCCATAAGTCTGTTAAAAGCTATACGGGGCTTATTTGTCTTATGGGAGCGGTGGCTTTGATCCCGGCGACCCAAGTTCGATTCCCACTCACGACCATCATAGCAGTGATTAATATTTTAATCGGTCCTAGGTCTCCCCTAGGTCGACTCAGCCTCAAAATGAGTACCTGGTGCGGTGTGTAAAACATCGCCACTGGGGGGCCAAAGGCGGCCGGGCGTGGTGCTGGCCACCCACCCCCTTGTGTGCTGTGCCGGCCTTCATAGGTGCTCGCTAACAGCACTTGCCACCCACAGTCTAAGGTAGGGGTGGGGAACCTTTTTTCTGCCAAGGACCATTTGGATATTTAGAACATCATTCGCGGGCCATACAAAATTATCAACTTTAAAATGTGCCTGTTATATTTAGTCAAACATTTCATTAACTAACCCTTAATGTGATGGCTGGAACTGCTTCTCTTTGGCGAGGCGTGTGATGTTAGCTGGTATTGATGATGATGTTGCTGCTACTCGCAACTGCTTTTCCAGGTTTGCTCCTAGATTTATTGAATTTCGAGTCCCGCCTGCGGTTGCCTTGGCAGGGCCAGAGGAAATGATTTTGCGGGCCGGACGTTCCCCACCCCTGGTCTAAGGCTAAATCAGGGATCTTTGTCTTCGCTATCTTAAAATTAATCATATATAACGGGTGACGTTTCGTGCATTGACCCTTCTCCAGACCAGAGAGGTGCGTGAAATCATGATGGCGGCGATCGCATTGGTGGCGTTTGTGACTCCTCCGCCCGTGTCTTTTTACACGGTTTCATTTAACTCACTCTGTCTGTTGTCGTTGTTGTATCCTCAAATCTTGTAACTCAATTTTAACCCACTTCCCAATGTGCTATCGACTGCAAACTTGGTATACTTATGTCATACTGATGACAATACTATATTCTATCATAAAAAATTAAAAAGATATATTTTAAACATTCTTTTTTATATGTTATGTTTCGGCTTGGGTCTAATTGTCCACGGTCCCTTACGTTGTGGCAAGCTTCGGGGCCACTTCTTCCATGACTCGTACATTTCATAAAAGCGTGTTTGTAAAAAATCGTTTATAAATATAACTTTTTTATTTCAGAAAATCATGGACAAGGGGAACCGTCGGAGCTTGCGGAGAAAGTCCTTCAACGACTTGTACGATGTCGCCGCCCGGTCGGGCCCCGTACACCCTCTCAACAGACGCTAAAAACCGAATATTGACACTCGCGCTGACATTGACGATGGCGGGGCCTTGGCCTTAGCCATCGGCAGGAGCACCCATCGCGGTCGCGATTCGCGTCAGACAGAGCCGCCCCTATTCCGTTGCCCCGAGGTCTTCCTGAAGCGCTTCACGTCGCGTCTCATCTCGACACATTTCAAACGCCACCGCCCCCCCCCGTCCCCCTAGTGGCACGAGGTGACTGGGCTCCTGGCCTACAAAACGTGGCAACATTCCTCCCCATAGATGGGGGGGGGGGGGGGGGTGAGGGGGGGCAGGGAAGGCGACGATTGCCGAGTGTAATCCCAGTTGGGCCTGGCTCAAGACTGGCACGTTTAGTGTCTCCTTGTCGGAGTGTGCGGGACTATTGGGGCCACTTAAACTATTAAAATATATATTTTTTTATTTTACCAGGTAAAGCCCACTGAGCTGAGCAGCTCTTTTTCAGAAGCGGCCTGGCCACAAACGATAGCTCAACAAAATGGCTTATCGTGTGGAAATGTACAGCAACCAAATACTATAAACGCACGTTTCTAAATGGAGGGAAAAACTGGAGGACCCGGAGAAAAATCCACGCGACCACGGGGAGAGACATTCAAACTCCAAATATACAGCAGCAGGCATCAGGGTCGGTATCAAGCCCACGACCTCCTGCATACCAGGCGAGGTAGTTAACATCTCCCAGCCACCGTGATGATGATGATGATGAGAGAGAGAAACACGCAAACTCCAAATATACGAGCAGGCTTCAGGATCGGGATCAAACCCACGACCTCCTGCATACCAGGCGAGGTAGTTAACATCTCCTAGCAACCGTGGTGATGATGAGAGAGAGATTTTCCCCAAGGCCCTGCACGCCCCTCAGTCTGGCCCTACCAGTGGCCCCCCTGTGATGTTTATCCTCTGGACGGACAATGTGGCCTAATGACACTGCGGTGTTGTCTGCTCGCCCCGGAGAATCTCTGCTGAACGCGAAACACATTTCTGAACTTTATATGGAGCAGCAGCGCTTCCCAACACTTTGCGTGTCGATCACCTGCCCCCCCCCCCCCGTCTCAGCCAGACCCAACCTATCGACTGAACGCCGTGCCCCGACCGCCGTTCTGCTCTTTGTATTTTTTTACGAGCCGAAATTTTGTTTTTAGTAATAAAAAAAAAAGTTATTCAATGTCCGCTGTGTGCATTCGTAAAGATAAAAGTGCAAGTCGGTGTGAACGCGAGCGCACGAGCAGAGGGGCCGCGGGTGGCCAGGGCCTGCCAAGGGCACGGATGTCGCGCAATTCTGCACGGCGGGTCGGTGCAGGGCAAAGGGCTCTGTCAGCGAACTGCATCGCGGCTCTTGAAATGTTTAAGGGGTTTTTTTTATTCATGGAGGGAAAAAATTGTTTTTCTTGTTATTTTGGTTGCTGACTCTTGGCCATGGAAGTCCAGTTCACCATGGAAGTCCAGTTCACCATGGAAGTCCAGTTCACCATGAAAGTCCAGTTCACCATGGAAGTCCAATCTACCGTGGGAGTCCAGTTCACCATGGAAGTCCAGTTCACCATGGGAGTCCAGTTTACCATGGAAGTCGAGTTCACCATGGAAGTCCAATCTACCGTGGAAGTCCAGTTCACCATGGAAGTCCAGTTCACCATGGAAGTCCAGTTCACCATGGAAGTTCAGTTCACCATGGAAGTCCAATCTACCGTGGAAGTCCAGTTCACCATGGAAGTCTAGTTCACCATGGGAGTCTAGTTCACCATGGAAGTCTAGTTCACCATGGAAGTCCAATCTACCATGGAAGTCTAGTTTACCATGGGAGTCCAGTTCACCATGGAAGTCCAGTTCACCATGGGAGTCTAGTTCACCATGGGAGTCCAGTTCACCATGGGAGTCTAGTTCACCATGGGAGTCCAGTTCACCATGGAAGTCCAGTTCACCATGGGAGTCTAGTTCACCATGGGAGTCCAGTTCACCATGGAAGTCCAGTTCACCATGGGAGTCCAGTTCACCATGGTAGTCCAGTTTACCATGGGAGTCTAGTTCACCATGGGAGTCCAGTTCACCATGGAAGTCCAGTTCACCATGGGAGTCCAGTTCACCATGGTAGTCCAGTTTACCATGGGAGTCTAGTTCACCATGGGAGTCCAGTTCACCATGGGAGTCCAGTTCACCATGGTAGTCCAGTTTACCATGGGAGTCTAGTTCACCATGGTAGTCCAGTTTACCATGGGAGTCCACTTTACCATGGGAGTCCAGTTCACCATGGAAGTCGAGTTCACCATGGAAGTCCACTTTACCATGGGAGTCCACTTTACCATGGGAGTCCAGTTCACCATGGAAGTCGAGTTCACCATGGAAGTCCACTTTACCATGGGAGTCCAGTTCACCATGGAAGCCCAGTTCACCATGGTAGTCCATTTCACCATGGGAGTCCAGTTCACCATGGGAGTCCAGTTCACCATGGGAGTCCAGTTCACCATGGAAATCCAGTTTACCATGGAAGCCCACTTTACCATGGGAGTCCAGTTTACCATGGAAGCCCACTTCACCATGGAAATCCAGTTTACCATGGAAGCCCACTTCACCATGGAAATCCAGTTTACCATGGGCAGGGTTCGGCAACGTGCGGCTCCGAGGCTATTTAAGGGACCACCACAGTGCACTGCTGCTGTTGTTTCTTTTTACTTACCGAAATCGAAACACGTGTAGTAGCTACACGTGTAGTAGTTACTACACATGTAGCTACACGTGTAGTAGCTACAACACGTACAGTAGCTACACGTGTAGTAGCTACTACATATGTACAGGGGTAGTAGCTACTACATGTGTAGTAGCTACACGTGCAGTTGCTACAACACGTGTAGTAGCTACATAAGTAGTAGCTACAACACGTGTAGCTGCTACACGTGTTGTAGCTACACGTGTAGTAGCTACACGCCCGGGCAACTTTGTCTTCTCAGTGGTGATGTTTTCACACGCCCCACCTGGTACTCATTTGAGGCCGAGTCGACCTAGGGGAGGCCCGGGACCGGTTCAGATAATCGTCACCGTTGTTGTGCCGTGAGCGGGAATGGAACCCGAGTCACCGGGTTCGTAGCGCAGCGTAGTGCTAACCGCTGCACCACCGCTCCCCACTCACACACACACAGACACACACACGCGCGCGCAGAGATGCTGGAGATGACACCGGCTGAGTCTTCCACCTTCAAAAATCCCGAATCCACACACTTGAACAAGTTACCTGGCAATGCTGCTGCTGTTGTGGCGATGGCAGCGGTGCCCGAACGCAGAAAACAACAGCAACAACAACAACAAAACACTCAACACGTTCCGCGTCAATAACACTGTGGCTTTTAAAGAGTAGAAAATATACAGACGACGTTTCGGGCGATGACCCTTCTTCATAGCAGATACAAATGTTGATCCACGTGACTTTTTCCACACTCTGGAAAACGGCATTCCCAGATAAATGTCATTCCCAGAGTTCGTGCCGACCGTCCAAACCTCCACCCGCGCGCTGTCCACAACACGACACAATCATTGGCGTCGTTCTGGAGAACATAAATAACGAAGTACAAAAGCTGTCCCGTCTCCTTCACACATCTGAACCCTCCGCATATGAAGCCACCAAAGTCACCCCAAATATCCCCACGCAGGGCTCAATCTCTGATTGGTTGAGAGCCACGACCGAGGACCAATGAACGCACGCAGAGGACAGAACGCGACCCCAGCACAAGATCCCTACGGATCACGTGTCCTCTACATGTAAACTTATATCGGTAGAAAAAAAAACACATCATCGCCACCGTTTTGCTCTCTATTGAATTAATGCGGTGTGTTTGTCCGACATAATGCACGGTGGGGTGTGTGGGGGAGGATTATTGCAGGAGGCTCTTCGTGGAGGACATCGTGGAGGACATCTGATCGAATCGACCCCTCCGGGGGGCCGCAAGTCGCGAGTCGTCCAGTGCGTCTCGACCTCTTGACCTCTCCACCGCGACCATGACCCCCCCCCCCCCACCCGGCGCGGTCTCCACGTAGGGAAACGCCGCGGCTCTCAACACGCCGATTCATTTTTCTTCTTCCGCGAGCCCGGACGCTTGTTTTTGTCCATGACTTTCTGAAATATAAACGGGGGGGGGGAGGCGGGTGGAGTGGGTGGGGATGAAGACGCAAAAAGCCACCGGAGACAATCGGCGTCACCGCGGAGGAGCTGAACGCGCGTGTGGCCCCGCCTCGTGATGCCTCGTACGGTGCTTTTTCTGCAATATTTTGCCGTTTTCTTTTCTTGGATTTTCTGTTTGCACTTAGTCACTTTAAGATGTTTTCTTGTTCATGTTTTTGTTTTCTGTTTGTTGCGGTTGCACCCGATTCAAGAGCCGAATGACTCACAGGGCTATACCTAATACATGAACTTGAAACTTGAACTTGAAACTCATCCACAACAGGTTCCAGAGCTCTGCTGCTGTGGTCCGGTCTGGACGATTTTTGTCCCCCCCCACCCATCGTCACACGGCGTCACAAAAAGTCAGACCCCCCCCCCCTCAAATATGACGTCACAAAGCTCTGCCCCCCCTCCCCGCCCGATAAAAATAAAACATGCTTCAAATCGCTTTCAACTATTGTCATTGTGGTGCGTATTTAATGTGCCGCTGCACTCTGATGTTGTATGAGAAAACATTTATCAAAAAGTCTATTTAATTAAGTAGAATGTGTTGTCTATCTATATATATAAAATCGTTCATGTCTGTCTGTCTGTGTGTGTGTGTGGACTGTCCGGCAAAACAACCTCCTACCTCCTCGCGGTGCCGGACGGGCAACACTGTCGTGGGCAGTGCTGTGGGGGGAGGGCCAATACCCATTGGCCTCTCCCCTCATGGCGTCTGTGACCACCACAGTGGCTAAACGGGGGCTCTGGACGGGTGTGAGGGGCTGGTAACCCCTCCACCTTCAATTCATTACCACTAAACCACGAATTAAACATAAACCTGTAACAAATAAGCTTGTGCCGGAGGCCCCGGGGGGTCAGGCTTTTATGACGTCTCCTGGCCAAACCCCATTTGGCGGAGCCAGGAGATTGAATTTTCACCCTCGGGGCTCCTCCAGAAACAACAAAAAACCATTGCGGATGGCCACGTGGAATGTTCGAACGCTCACTGCGGAGGAGAGGCTGCCACTCCTCTGTCGGGAGCTGGACCGGTACCGCCTGGATCTCTGTGGCATTCAGGAGGTCCGGTGGACCGGTTCTGGCTCCTGCCACCATGAGGGGTGGACAGTCCTCTACTCGGGGCAGGAGACTGCCAAACAACAGGGTGTGGCTCTTCTTCTGAACAAAAGAATGAAGGGGGCGTGGGAGCGTGGCGGTGAGGTGTGGGAAGCTGTAAGCCCCAGGATACTTTGGGCTCGCCTTCCCATCAACCAGAGGCGAGGAGTGGTGGTCGTGGTTACTTATGCCCCCACCGAAGACGAACATCCGTGGAGGGATGCAAGCAAAGCCGATGAGTCAGACGCTTTCTATGACCTCCTGTCACAGGTGCTGGCTAAAGTGGCCACTCGGGACAGAGTCATCTTGTTGGGTGACTTCAATGCCCGAGTTGGTCATGATGCTGACACCTGGTCTGGAGTGATTGGAAGGCATGGGCCAGATCAGCTCAATAATAACGGTAGGAGGCTGCTAGATTTTTGTGCAGCCCATGGGCTTGTAATTACCAACACGCTCTTCCGGCATCGGCGCATCCACACAACATCATGGATACATGCCGGGTCCAAGCAAGAACATCTGCTGGACTACATAGTGACGGACCAGCGGATGCGAACCCATGTCCTTGACACCAGGACCTACCGTGGAGCTGATCTGTCCTCTGACCATCGACTAGTCATCTGTAAGATGCGCCTGCCTTTCTTCCACTCCGGTGGTGGGTGTACACCCAGAATCCCATTCCAACCAAAAGTGGCCTGGTCTCAGTTAGCTGATGAAAGTTGCAAGCGAGAATTTCATCATCGCTTGCAGCTGGGGTTGGCATCGTCCCCCACTCCACCTGATGTCGAGGGTAAATGGGCGAGGTTTAGGACTGTGACTCATGCAGCTGCAATGGCTGCTTTGGGTACGCGGTCCAGACCTCCCCAGAAACCCTGGCTGACAGAGGAGGTGTTCAGGTTAATTGAGAAAAAGCGACAGGCCCACTCTCATCGCCTACAGCATCCCACGTCAGAGAATGAGGAGGTTTACCGCAGCCTTCGCTCGGAAGTTCGGAGAGCCGTAAGGCGTTGTAAGGATGGGTGGTGGTCGCGGGTTGCTGAGGAGATGGAGTCTGCCTCAGTGGCCCGTGATCACAAATCACTATTTAACTCCATCAAAAAAGTAACCTGCAGCGCCACACCTATTACCATCATTAGAGGAAAAAACGGTGATCCAATCTCCGACCCCCAGGAACAGGTTTGCAGATTTGCTGAGCATTTCTGTGAGGTCCTGGGGGAGGGAAATTCTCTCAGCCAGGAAAACATCATGGCACAAAGTGGGGATAACCCTGCTGAGGCTGCGGTGCCTCAAATATTGGAAGAGGTCACCCCCTGTGAGTGGCTGGCTGAGGTTCCAGCTGTTGAGGAAGTACTGAGGGCGATCCGGAGTCTGAGACCAGGGAAGGCACCGGGCAGAGATGATCTCCCAAGCGAAATGCTGAGGGAGGGTGGCGTTTGTGCACAGACTGCCCTATATGACATCATAACAACAGTCTGGACCACTGGACGGGTTCCGCAGGACTGGAAGGATGCCCTGGTGGTCCCCCTCTTTAAGAAGGGGGACCGCACAGACTGTAACAACTACAGGGGCATCTCACTCCTCAGTGTGCCGGGTAAGGTCCTGGCAAGGATTATTCAACATCGCCTTGCTAGGCACGCTGAGGAGGGGCTTGCGGAGCCCCAATGCGGTTTCAGGAAAGGGCGGCCCTGCACAGATGCCATATTTTCTGTCCGTCTGCTACAGCAGAGGTGTAGGGAATTCCAAAAAGACCTACATTTCTGCTTTATTGACCTGGTCAAGGCCTATGATACCATCAGTAGGACTGGACTCTGGGTTGTTCTTCGTGCTTTCGGAGTCCCTGACCCTCTGCTCACGATCATTAAGGACCTTCATGATGGTGAGCGGGCCCGGGTAAAACTACGTGGCCGGGAGTCGGAGCCTTTCCCTGTACACCTTGGGGTGCGACAGGGATGTCCTCTGGCTCCCACATTATTTAACATCTATTTTGACCGCGTAGTTCGTGAAGCCTTCAATAGCTGTACCGGGGGAATTTCCGTTTGGTACAGATATAATGGGAGGCTGATCGACGCCCGGGTGCGATCAAGGGATGGCTCCCTATTGGTCAACCACGTTATGTATGCCGATGATTTGGTAATAGCTGCTCATTCAGAAGAGGAGTTGGAGGCGCTGCTGCTGAGACTGGAGCGTGCCACTAAGAGGTGGGGCCTTACCATCAGCCCCACCAAAACCAAGCACCTGCCTGGGTATTTTGTACCATCGGACACTCCACCCCCACAACTCCCAATTGGTGATGGGGCAGTTGTGGAGAGAGTGGAGAGTTTCCCATACCTGGGCAGTGTGCTTATGACCGGCTCCAGTCTATCAGCAGAGGTCTCACTCCGAATCAGTCGAGCGGCAATATCTTTTTATCGGTTGCGTAACGCTGTGTGGAAGCTACCTGGTCTGTCGCTCCGCACGAAGCTTCAGGTCTTCTCGGCCACGGTCATTCCCTCCCTTCTCTACGCTTGCGAGACGTGGACCCCCCTGGTGGAGCATCTTCGCCGGTTGGAAACATTTAGGCTGGCCTGCCTACGATCCATCCTGGGTTTAACCAGGCTGGATTGTGTGAGGAGCTCACAAATCCTTGAAAGATCTGGGCAAAGTCCCATCAGTGAGCTCCTCCGGCAGGCAAGGCTGCGTTGGCTGGGTCATGTAGCCCGCATGCCCAGCCACCGCATGCCTAAACAGCTTTTGTTCGGCCGGATCGAGGGGGCTAGACGGGCGCGGCACGGGCTGGAGAAGAGATGGAGTGATGTGGTACAGGAGGACGTGGAGCTGAGTGGACTTGCCGATGACTGGTACCAGCGGTGTCAAGATCGGCCTCAGTGGAGGAGGCTCGTGAAGGACGCTACTGGGCAGTTGGAGGCAGTCGCCCTCCAACAACAACGGAGGGCGGAGGAGTGACGCTCACAACAACGAGCGGAGCGCCGGGTGGCTAAAGCACAGCAAGTTGGCACAGTAGGGGGCACAGGTGGTGCATCAGCCAGTCATCTCGGTCATCTCGGTCAGTCGACCAGTGGCACCTGGGTCTGCCCCGTGACCTCCTGCCAGCGGGCTTTCGACACTTCACGTGGCCTCAAGGTGCACTTGGCCTGGCACAAGCATCGTGGTGACGTCACCGCCACTTAGTGGCGAATGGCGGTTGTTGTTGTTGTGTGTGGACTTTGGCCCATACGCACTTTCATTGGACGGCGGTTGCCCCTGGCAACGGCTAGCCACGCCTTCGCCGCTTTCATTGGACCTGGCAACGGCTAGCCACGCCTTCGCCAAGGGCTGCAGTTTCATTGGACGGCGGTTGCCCCTGCCAACGGCTAGCCACGCCTTCGCCACTTTCATAAGCTCCGTATTTAATTAAATAATAGCCATTACACAGTATTGTTGGAGCGCTAGGGGGGGGGGGGAAGGAACGCCACCCGTACCCTGCCTCTTCCAAGCCGACAATTTTAGGCGAGGCCGCAGGCTTTGCACGCTACTAGGCCTCGACACCCACCACGCCACTCTGAGGTAAATTCATCAAAGTTTTTCCTACTCTTCACTACACCCCCACCACAATGTGTGCTATTAATATTACTTTTAAACCCAACGCGCCAACAATCGATTACTTTAATGTTCACTGTACAAATACTCATTAAGCTGGGTGAGCGTACTGCCAGTCTATCATGTACACTGTAGCCTGCTTATTAAGCTCGGTGAGCGTACTGCCACTCTATCATGTACACTCTAGCCTGCTTATGAAGCTGAGTGCGTGTACTGGCAGTCTATAATGTGGACTCTTGCCTGGTTATTATAATCGATTCTTTATATGTTCTTTGTACAAACAGTCATTAAGCTGCTTGAGCGACCCCAGTTCGATTCCAACTCACGCCCACCACCGCTGACGATTATTTGAAACGGACCTGGCCCTCCCCTAGGTCCACTCAGCCTCAAAAGCGTAACTGCTGTCGTGTGTGAACATCGTCACTGGGGAGACAAAGGCGGCGGGGCATCGTGGATCCAAGTCCCGGGCGAAGCCGGGTCATGTGTATGTGTGTTTGTGTTTATGTGTATGTCTGTGTGTCTCTATGTATGTGTGTATGTATGTGTATGTATGTGTTTGTGTGTATGTGTGTGTGTATGTATGTGGGTTTTTTTTTATGTCTTTATGTGTATGTCTGCGTGTCTCTATGTATGTGTGTATGTACGTGTGTGCATGTGTTTGTGTGTATGTATGTGTGTGTCTATGTATGTGTGTGTCTATGTATGTGTGTGTATGTATGTGTGTTATATGTCTGTCTGTGTCTGCATGTATGTGTGTGTGTATTGTGTATGTGTTTGTGTGCATGTATGTGTGTGTTTGTGTGTATGTGTATGTCTGTGTGTATGTGTTTGTGTGTATGTGTGTGTATGTATGTGTGTGTATGTGTTTGTATGTGTTTGTGTGTTTACGCTCGCATTACACAAATGTGTTGCTGGTCTAAGGCGTTCCTCGCACAGCATTGCCGCTTTATTATTTCAGTCGTTTACTGCCTTACGCACCCTGAAAGTCGTGTGTGTCTGCAGCAAGCGCGTGTATGTGTACCTATGGACGCGCGCGCGTGTGTTGTGTAGGGGGAACGGTAGTGTAGTGCTTAGCGTGCTGTCTGTGTCTGTGTGTGTGTGTCTGTCTGTGTCTGTCTGTGTGTGTCTGCGTGTGTCTGTGTGTGTGTCTGTGTGTGTGCGTGTGTGGTGTGTGGGGAGCGGTAGTGTAGTGCTTAGCGTGCTGTCTGTGTGTCTGTGTGTGTGTGTGTCTGTCTGTGTCTGTCTGTGTCTGCGTGTGTCTGTGTGTGTGTCTGTGCGTGTGTGGTGTGTGAGGAGCGGTGGGTGTAGTGCTTAACGCTACGCTGCGCTACCAACCCGGCGAACCCAGTTCCATTCCCGCTCACGGCCACCACCGGTGACGATTATTTGAACCTCCCCTAGGTCCACTCAGCCTCAAACGAGTAACTGGTGTGGCGTATTAACATCGGCACTTGGGAGACAAAGGCGGCTGGGCGTGGTAGATCCAAGTCCCGGGCGAAGCCGGGTCATGTGTATGTGTTTATGTGTATGTCTGTGTGTCTGTATGCATGTGTGTATGTATGTGTGTGTATGTGTTTGTGTGTATGTCTGTGTGTGTATGTATGTCGGTTTTGCCGCCGTGGTGGATCCAAGTCCCGGGCGAAGCCGGGTCATGTGTATGTGTGTATGTGTTTATGTGTATGTCTGTGTGTCTGTATGCATGTGTGTATGTATGTGTGTGCATGTGTTTGTGTGTATGTATGTGTGTGTGTATGTATGTGGGTTTTTTTGTATGTGTTTATGTGTATGTCTGCGTGCCTGTATGCATGTGTGTATGTACGTCTGTGGATGTGTTTGTGTGTATGTATGTGTGTGTCTATGTATGTGTGTGTATGTGTTTCTGTGTTTGTATGTGTGTGTATGTATGTGTGTTATGTGGCTGTCTGTGTGTCTGCATGTATGTGTGTGTGTATTGTGTATGTGTGTGTTTGTGTGTTTACGCTCGCATTACACAAATGTATAATGCGGGTCTAAGGCGTTCCTTACACAGCATTGCCGCTTTATTATTTCAGTCGTTTACTGCCGTATGCACCCTGAAAGTCGTGTGTGTCTGCAGCAAGCGCGTGTATGTGTACCTATGGACGCGCGCGCGTGTGTTGTGTAGGGGGAACGGTAGTGTAGTGCTTAGCGTGCTGCCTGTGTCTGTGTGTGTGTGTCTGTGTGTGTGTGTCTGTGTGTGTGTCTGTGTGTGTGTCTGTGTGTGTGCGTGTGTGGTGTGTGGGGAGCGGTAGTGTAGTGGTTAGCGTGCTGTCTGTGTGTGTGTTTCTGTCTGTGTGTGTCTGCGTGTGTCTGTGTGTGTGTCTGTGCGTGTGTCTGTGCGTGTGTGGTGTGTGAGGAGCGGTGGGTGTAGTGCTTAACGCTACGCTGCGCTACCAACCCGGCAAACCCAGTTCGATTCCCGCTCACGGCCACCACCGGTGACGATTATTTGAACCTCCCCTAAGTCGACTCTGCCTCAAACGAGTAACTTAACTACTGTAGCGTATTAACATCGCCACTGGGGAGACAAAGGCGGCCGGCCGTGGTAGATACAAGTCCCGGGCGAAGCCGGGTAGTACAGCTAGTATTCATTTAAAGTTGCGCATTTTGATGCGACGTCACATTTCTCAACACCCCCCCCCCTCGTCACACATCGTCACAAATGTCTGACCCACCCCCCCCCCTAGGTGCGTGACGTCATTTATGAACGGCCCCCAAGCCGAACACAAGCGCAACACAAGCTGAACGCAAGTGCCGGCCATGCGAGCTTCAGCCCCGCGTGACCAATGCAGGGGAGGGCGAGGGAGAGGCCCATAGACTCACCACTGCCCATAGACTCAACACTACCCATAGACTCAACACTACCCATAGACTAACACTGCCCACAGACTCAACACTGCCCATAGACTAACACTACCCATAGACTCAACACTGCCCATAGACTCAACACTGCCCATAGACTCAACACTGCTCATAGACTAACCGTTTCAATGCCCTGCTGCTGCGGTCCGGCCAAGGGGACCCCCTGGCGGCAGCTGTTCCTGTGCAGCACAAGCCGAACGCAAGTTCCGGCCTGCGAGCGGCCATCAGCTTTGCCCCGCGGAATCCTGTGTGCAGCCGGTGCTGGCAGAACTAGCCATAGCCCACCGCTTGGCTCATGCAGGGGAGGGCGTGGAGGGATTGGGGGAGGCGAGTGAAGTGTCCACGCACCTTGAAGTCCCCGCGGAACGTGGCGAGGCTGGAGAGGAGCGGCTTGGGCGTCTCTCCCTTCAGGCTGAACTTCACCCTCAGCCTCTCCCACTCGGCCCCGATCTCGCCCTCGCCCCTCTCCAGCAGCTCCACCTTCTGCGTCCACTCCTGAAGCAGCGGGTGCCACGGGGTCAAGGGGGGTCACGCGGGGGTCACGTGGGGGTCACATGGGGGTCACGCGGGGGTCATGCGTGGGTCACGCGGAGGTCACGCGGGGGTCACGCGGAGGTCACGTGGGGGTCACGCGGGGTCACGCGGGGGTCACGGTGACTCCTAGGCTAGGAGTGGCGTTTGTCGACGAGCGGCAACGCGCGCTTGGGGGGACACCTCCGTCGACGGATAAACGGTCACGCGAGGCACCGGCCCAGCGGAGGGCTCGTAAACATTCGTAAACAAACGTCGTGAACAATGAGTGAGTGAGTGTGGGTGTGTGCGAGACTCGTTCTGTGAACGCATCGTGGGCATAAAGAATCGACTTGGGCCAATGGAATCGCTGTTCGCCCTGAACCAGCCCCGAGCGTTGAAATACGGTGTTTTTTCTGGAATAATTTGCTGTTTTTTCCAGGATTTTTCTGTTGCGTGTAATCACTTTAAGATGTTTCTTGTTCATGTTTTTGTTTTGTTGCGGTTGCACTCGAGTCAAGAGCCGCATGGCTCACAGGGTTATACCTAATAAATGAACTCAACTGAACAGGTAAATGGCCTGATGGGGGCTGGTTGTTGCAAACACCAGCGGAACGTCACAGCACTCTGTAAATGTCGTAGTGGGTTTACTCTCCAACACACAACTGGTGTGCTGTACTAGTAACTAATTGGCACATTGTTGTTTACGTGACAACCCGTTACTAATTGGCTGCGTCGGGTGGTGGCGGGTTCACGACGCATTTATATGACGTCACCTGTAAGCCCTTCTTGTGCGAAGAGGTCGCGGGATTAATGACTGCGTGTATATGGTAATGGGTATCCATTGCAAATTACAATGGATAGCCATGTCTAATGTCACAACACTCCAACCAATCCGTTGAGAAGGATATGAGCATCGTTTTGGAGAACGCCCGGTGGGGCTCGGCGTCCGGCAACGAGTCAAGGTCGCATTCCAGTTTCGTGATTTCCGCCCGGAAAGACTGGATCGCCGATTTCCGATTCTTCTCGTCGGCTGTGGAGAGAAGTCGACATCGTCACAATGTCCCCACGGTGTCGTCACAATGTCGTCACAATGTCGTTACAATGTCGTCACAATGTCGTCACAATGTCGTCACAATGTCGTTACAATGTCGTTACAATGTCATCACAATGTCGTCACAATGTCGTCACAATGTCGTCACAATGTCGTCACAATGTCGTTACAATGTCGTCACAATGTCGTCACAATGTCATCACAATGTCGTCACAATGTCGTTACAATGTCATCACAATGTCGTCACAATGTCATCACAATGTCGTCACAATGTCGTCACGATGTCGTCACAACGTCGTCACAATGTCGTCACAATGTCGTCACAATGTCATCACAATGTCGTCAGAATGTCGTCACGATGTCGTCACAATGTCGTCACAATGTCGTCACAATGTCATCACAATGTCGTCACAATGTCGTCACGATGTCGTCACAACGTCGTCACAATGTCGTCACAATGTCATCACAATGTCGTCACGATGTCGTCACAATGTCGTCACAACGTCGTCACAATGTCGTCACAACGTCGTCACAATGTCGTCACGATGTCGTCACAATGTCGTCACAACCTCCGTCACCGCCCCCCACCCACCGCTCCACGCACGACCACGCTCTCACGGCGATACGAAAAGGGAAATGGAAACTCCGTCGACACTGAAGCCTCTCGCGTGGCCTGTCTCGCCAACTGCACTGGGACAGCGGACGTGTGAATGAGCGAGCATCACAGCGATGGATCAACGAGCGAGTGAGCTTGTGAACCAGAGACGTACATGAGCGAGAGGCAAATGGATTGGTGGGAGAGGGAGATGGTGGGCCAGAGATCTAGACGATTAGCAAAGAAGTAGGCGAGTCCTAGGCTGTTGTGGCGGCGTGCAGGTAGGCCCGTCGGGCACCTCCTGTGGCTTTGTCAACAGGCTCGAGCTCCGTGATGACGTTGAGGATGTCGGGGTGGGATTTCTGGCATTCTCTGACCACCAGGTCCAGGAGGGTGCCGCCCTCAGCGGGATCCGTCATCCTCACGGAGTTGATCTGTTGGGGCGACAGCACCGGCAAGTTAGGAGCCGGCTGGGTGCCAGCGTCCCCCCCCCCCTCCAACCCCCGTCCCTCCCTCACCACTCTCTCCACCCCCCCTCCCTGCCTCTGCATGCAGGGTGGCGCAGTGGTAACACACACGCCTCAAGGCAGAGAATGCCCTAGGTTCCATTCCTGACTCGGGCACATTTTTTGTGTGGAGTTTGTAAACTCTCTCACCGGCTCTGCATGGCTTTCTTCCGGGATTCTCAATCTCTCTTCGATGGTTTTTTTTCTCTATTTTTGGTGATGATGCGAACATCCCAATGCCGAAGAAAAAAAAAATCTCCCGAGGTAAATCTTCTCGTAACCTTTCTTACCCACCCCTACTGGACTTCTGTGAAAAAAAGCTTTATAGCTCATATGATTCCTCCTGCAGTATAAATACTGCAGGAGGAATGCCCCCCTGTCATTAGACCACAGTTAAGGGCGCTTTTGGGATTCATTCGCTTAATTCACGTACCGCCAACGAGTTGGGCAGTCGTGTACATTTCATATTCTGTAAAAGTATTCTGACATGTGAAGCGCACCGCACGAATACAGGAGGCTACTTGCTATTTTACAATTGTTAGTTCAGCAGGTAAGGCCCACTGAGCTACAGAGCTCATTTTACACGCTTTTATTTAACTCACTCTATTGTCGTATCCTGAAATCTTGTAACTCAATTTCAACCGTCTTCCCAATGTCGTATCGACTGCAAACTTGGTGTAGGTATGTCATACTGATGACAATACTATATTCTATCATTAAAAATTTCAAATATATATTTTAAACTATCTTTTTTACGGGTAAAATTGTCCACGCTCAACTCACGTTGGCTGTAAATCACCACGGTCCCTTACGTTATGGCAAGCTTCGGGGAGCCACGCCGAGGGGCGGGGGATGTGGAAGGAGGGGAGGGGCGATGGGGGAAGGGAGCACGGGGAGGGGCAGCTCGGAGTTGGCCGGGGGGGACGTTCCCTTACGTTATGGAAAGCTGCGGGGCCACTTCCTGGAGTCGTGGAGTTCTGCCATTACTCGTACGGTACATTTCATTAAAGCGTGTTTAAAAAAAATCGTATTTTTTAAATATTTAATTCAGAAGCGAGCTGGCCACAAATGATAGCCAAATGAAGTGGCTTACCACGTGGAAATGTACATCAGCCAAATACTCTAAATGCATGTTTCTGAATGTGGAGGGAAAACCCGGAGGACCCGGAGAAAAATCCACTTGACCAAGAGGAAAACATGCAAACTCACAATATACTGGCGTCGCGGTCGGGATTGAACCCACGAGCTTCTGTAAACAAGGCGAGGTAGTTAACATCTCGCCACCTGGATCGCCCTAATTGACCCATGACCCCCTCGCCCTCCCCCCAATGGTTACCCCCCGCCCCCTCCCCGTGAGACCTTGTCGATGTCGCAGAGGTTGAATCCATAGGCAGGCGACGAGGTGGGGCCCTCGTTCAGGAAGTTGAGGATGAAGAGGAGCAGCTGGGTCAGCTGGGTCAGGCCTTGGCTGGAGACGACCGCGCTCAGGGCCGCGAGCACGACCTCCTGCTCTTTCCGAGCCTGGTCGAGCACCTCGGCGCGGGTGAAGTGGAAGAGCAGGCAGCGCAGGCGCTCCGACAGGTGGCCCTCGTCCACGAGCTGAGGTCACACGGCCACAGGGTCACGGGCAGCACAACCGCGGGGACACAGAGACACGCGCGGCACAACCACTGTTGGAGATCGACATCGTGGAAACCACTATGGGGACCTCATTTGCCAGTAAAAATATGATAATTGGTTCTTTACCCTTCTATCTGGCAACAAAACTGACACCTTTTTGCAAGGAGTCATGTTTGCATAGACCGCAATACCTGCAGTCATAATACAAACAAAAGAACATAACTCTGATAATGTGCACTGTCCTTGAAGTTGATTGGTCCACACCCGAGACAGCTTTCCTTCGAGCCTAGTCTCATATGGGTTGGACCAGATGACGCCAAAAGGCGCACAACTCAAGGACAATGCACCATCAGAGTATGAGAGCTCGGGGCAAGCATCTACACTTATGGGGACCTCATTTGCCAGTAAAAATATGATAATTGGTTCTTTACCCTTCTATCTGGCAACAAAACTGACACCTTTTTGCAAGGAGTCATGTTTGCATAGACTGCAATACCTGCAGTCATAATACAAACAAAAGAACATAACTCTGATAATGTGCACTGTCCTTGAAGTTGATTGGTCCACACCCGAGACAGCTTTCCTTCGAGCCTAGTCTCATATGGGTTGGACCAGATGACGCCAAAAGGCGCACAACTCAAGGACAATGCACCATCAGAGTATGAGAGCTCGGGGCAAGCATCTACACTATGGGGACCTCATTTGCCAGTAAAAATATGATAATTGGTTCTTTACCCTTCTATCTGGCAACAAAACTGACACCTTTTTGCAAGGAGTCATGTTTGCATAGACCGCAATACCTGCAGTCATAATACAAACAAAAGAACATAACTCTGATAATGTGCACTGTCCTTGAAGTTGATTGGTCCACACCCGAGACAGCTTTCCTTCGAGCCTAGTCTCATATGGGTTGGACCAGATGACGCCAAAAGGCGCACAACTCAAGGACAATGCACCATCAGAGTATGAGAGCTCGGGGCAAGCATCTACACTATGGGGACCTCATTTGCCAGTAAAAATATGATAATTGGTTCTTTACCCTTCTATCTGGCAACAAAACTGACACCTTTTTGCAAGGAGTCATGTTTGCATAGACCGCAATACCTGCAGTCATAATACAAACAAAAGAACATAACTCTGATAATGTGCACTGTCCTTGAAGTTGATTGGTCCACACCCGAGACAGCTTTCCTTCGAGCCTAGTCTCATATGGGTTGGACCAGATGACGCCAAAAGGCGCACAACTCAAGGACAATGCACCATCAGAGTATGAGAGCTCGGGGCAAGCATCTACACTATGGGGACCTCATTTGCCAGTAAAAATATGATAATTGGTTCTTTACCCTTCTATCTGGCAACAAAACTGACACCTTTTTGCAAGGAGTCATGTTTGCATAGACCGCAATACCTGCAGTCATAATACAAACAAAAGAACATAACTCTGATAATGTGCACTGTCCTTGAAGTTGATTGGTCCACACCCGAGACAGCTTTCCTTCGAGCCTAGTCTCATATGGGTTGGACCAGATGACGCCAAAAGGCGCACAACTGTTTGTATTATGACTGCAGGTATTGCGGTCTATGCAAACATGACTCCTTGCAAAAAGGTGTCAGTTTTGTTGCCAGATAGAAGGGTAAAGAACCAATTATCATATTTTTACTGGCAAATGAGGTCCCCATAGTGTAGATGCTTGCCCCGAGCTCTCATACTCTGATGGTGCATTGTCCTTGAGTTGTGCGCCTTTTGGCGTCATCTGGTCCAACCCATATGAGACTAGGCTCGAAGGAAAGCTGTCTCGGGTGTGGACCAATCAACTTCAAGGACAGTGCACATTATCAGAGTTATGTTATTTTGTTTGTATTATGACTGCAGGTATTGCGGTCTATGCAAACATGACTCCTTGCAAAAAGGTGTCAGTTTTGTTGCCAGATAGAAGGGTAAAGAACCAATTATCATATTTTTACTGGCAAATGAGGTCCCCATAGTGTAGATGCTTGCCCCGAGCTCTCATACTCTGATGGTGCATTGTCCTTGAGTTGTGCGCCTTTTGGCGTCATCTGGTCCAACCCATATGAGACTAGGCTCGAAGGAAAGCTGTCTCGGGTGTGGACCAATCAACTTCAAGGACAGTGCACATTATCAGAGTTATGTTCTTTTGTTTGTATTATGACTGCAGGTATTGCGGTCTATGCAAACATGACTCCTTGCAAAAAGGTGTCAGTTTTGTTGCCAGATAGAAGGGTAAAGAACCAATTATCATATTTTTACTGGCAAATGAGGTCCCCATAGTGTAGATGCTTGCCCCGAGCTCTCATACTCTGATGGTGCATTGTCCTTGAGTTGTGCGCCTTTTGGCGTCATCTGGTCCAACCCATATGAGACTAGGCTCGAAGGAAAGCTGTCTCGGGTGTGGACCAATCAACTTCAAGGACAGTGCACATTATCAGAGTTATGTTCTTTTGTTTGTATTATGACTGCAGGTATTGCGGTCTATGCAAACATGACTCCTTGCAAAAAGGTGTCAGTTTTGTTGCCAGATAGAAGGGTAAAGAACCAATTATCATCGTGGAAACCATCGGGCCAACTGTTCGAGATCTACATGGTAGAAATCATCATGAAAAACTGTCTGAGATCTACACGGTAGAAACCATCAAGAAGGACAGTTAGGGATCTGCATGGTGGAAACCTTCAAGGAAGACTGTCCGAGATCTACATGGTGGATACCATCAAGAAGGACTGCTCGAGATCTACATGGTGGAAACCATCAAGAAAGACTGTCCGAGATCTGCATGGTGGAAACCATCCAGAGGGACTGTCCCATATCTACGTGGTAGAAACCATCAAGAAAGACTGTCCGAGATCTATTTGGTAGAAACCATCAAGAAAGACTGTCCGAGATCTACACGGTGGAAACCATCAGGAAAGACTGTCTGAAATCTAGATGGTGGAAACCATCAAGAAGGACTGTTCGAGATCTACATGATGGAAACCATCAAGAAAGACTCTCCGAGATCTACATGGTGGAAACCATCAAGAAGAACTGTTCGAGATCTACACAGTGGAAACCATCAATAAGGACTGACCGACATCTACATGGTAGAAACCATCAAGGACTGTTCGAGATCTACATTGTAGAAACCATCAAGAAGGACTGTCCGAGATCTACACGGTGGAAACCATCAAGAAAGACTGTCTGAAATCTAGATGGTGGAAACCATCAAGAAAGACTGTCCGAGATCTACATGGTGGAAACCATCAAGAAAGACTGTCCGAGATCTCCATGGTGGAAACCATCAAGAAAGACTGTCTGAGATCTACATGGTGGAAACCATCCGGAAGGACTGTCCAAGATCTGCATTGTGGAAACTATCAAGAACGACTGTCTGAGATCTACATGGTAGAAACCATCAAGAAGGACTGTCCGAGATGTACACGGTGGAAACCATCATGAAAGACTGTCTGAAATCTAGATGGTGGAAACCATCAAGAAAGACTGTCCGAGATCTCCATGGTAGAAACCATCAAGAAGGACTGTCTGAGATCTACATGGTAGAAACCATCAAGAAGGACTGTCCGAGATCTACATGGTAGAAACCATCAAGAAGGACTGTCTGAAATCTACATGGTGGAAACCATCAAGAAGGACTGTCCGAGATCTACATGGTAGAAACCATCAAGAAGGACTGTCTGAGATCTACATGGTAGAAACCATCAAGAAGGACTGTCCGAGATCTACATGGTGGAAACAATCAAGAAGAACTGTTCGAGATCTACATGGTGGAAACCATCAAGAAGGACTGTCCGAGATCTACATGGTGGAAACCATCATGAAGAACTGTTCGAGATCTACATGGTGGAAACCATCAAAAAGGACTGTTCGAGATCTACATGGTGGAAACCATCAAGAAGGACTGTCCGAGATCTACATGGTGGAAACCATCAAGAAAGACTGTCTGAGATCTACATGGTGGAAACCATCAAGAATGACTGTTCGAGATCTACATGGTGGAAACCATCAAGAAGAACTGTTCGAGATCTACATGGTGGAAACCATCAAGAAAGACTGTTCGAGATCTACATGGTGGAAACCATCAAGAAAGACTGTCCGAGATCTACATGGTGGAAACCATCAAGAAGGACTGTCTGAAATCTAGATGGTGTAAACCATCAAGAAAGACTGTCCGAGATCCACATGGTGGAAACCATCAAGAAAGACTGTCCGAGATCTCCATGGTGGAAACCATCAAGAAAGACTGTCTGAGATCTACATGGTGGAAACCATCCGGAAGGACTGTCCAAGATCTGCATTGTGGAAACTATCAAGAACGACTGTCTGAGATCTACATGGTAGAAACCATCAAGAAGGACTGTCCGAGATGTACACTGTGGAAACCATCAAGAAAGACTGTCTGAAATCTAGATGGTGGAAACCATCAAGAAAGACTGTCCGAGATCTACATGGTAGAAACCATCAAGAAGGACTGTCTGAGATCTACATGGTAGAAACCATCAAGAAGGACTGTCCGAGATCTACATAGTAGAAACCATCAAGAAGGACTGTCTGAGATCTACATGGTGGAAACCATCAAGAAGGACTGTCCGAGATCTACATGGTAGAAACCATCAAGAAGGACTGTCTGAGATCTACATGGTAGAAACCATCAAGAAGGACTGTCCGAGATCTACATGGTGGAAACCATCAAGAAGAACTGTTCGAGATCTACATGGTGGAAACCATCAAGAAGGACTGTCCGAGATCTACATGGTGGAAACCATCAAGAAGAACTGTTCGAGATCTACATGGTGGAAACCATCAAGAAGGACTGTTCGAGATCTACATGGTGGAAACCATCAAGAAGGACTGTCCGAGATCTACATGGTGGAAACCATCAAGAAAGACTGTCTGAGATCTACATGGTGGAAACCATCAAGAAGGACTGTTCGAGATCTACATGGTGGAAACCATCAAGAAGAACTG